ACCAATTGAACATAAATTTCAGTGTTACCAGTGTCAATCTATGTTTATTTGCATTCTGATGAAAGTTTTTGCAACAACAACAATTTACAGAAAAAGAAACAATACGCCAGGCACTAATCCCACAATAAAATAACAGAATCATTTAACAAATAGTTCTTGGTACCAACATGCTCAGAGCACCCAATAGTTAATCTCAATGGGCTACATTGTGAGCCGTCAAAGTTGTTTCTGCATACAGCAGGCCCGGGTTGGTTACTCCCATAGTTGAAGTGTACGGATATACTGTTTAACCCAATTTTGTGAATAGACAGCCACGCTCATACGACTCATTTGACCTCCATATACATAATTCAAAAATGTGGTCATTGGTCAATATCAATCACAGATAATATGGCGTGGTAGAAGCTCGGGGCATCAGCAAGCAATTTGTCACGGTGTGTTGGGTACTATCATTGTGGGAGCTCATGAAACTATTCTTTTTTCTTTTTCGACGATGTAGCTATGTTTTGTCATGGCGTTCACTTCATCATTAGCACGACCGTAGGTCGCGCCCGCAGATGTATATACGGCGTATAAAGACGTATGATTCAAGAAGTAACTCGATGTCAGTCCTACAATTATTATTATTATTATTAATAAAAAAAGCATTGATCATAAAACACTGCAACCGAATATTTTAGCCTCGGCTTGCTGCCTATCTAATGTGGTGATTAGAAGACTGTGCATGCTCTCCGCTATAGTAAACTGCTTACTCGATTCAACAAGTTCATTTGCCTTTCATTTTTAAACAGCAAATTTCTGAAAGTTCAAAGCTATACAGTGCCACCAACGGTGGCTGTCCCTGGTCACGTAAATGTAATTATACTAGTGAACATATAATATGCATAAAATGTACATGTTTTTAGCCAATTCGTTTAATTTGTGTTATATTCTATATCCTGCTACAATGTAGTGATTTTTTTTTCAACCTAACCGTGACACCTGTACGTGTTTTCAAATGTATACATATAATTACCACATTCATGCTTGGACAGTGTGTCCATCGGAGAGGTTAAAATAACAGACCGTGATCACGTGTTTATTTTATATCCAAGTCCATTATACTTGTACTTTTATAGGTGGTATTTGGTACTACGGTGATGAACTACGAAAAGGACAGGTGGCGGCCACCTATGATTCTGTGGTTACCAATATCAGCAAAGAAATGTTATGCTTCTCCGACTTTCCATTTCCAAAGGAATGGCCGCCGTTCATACCACATAAAAAGGTACATCAATATTTGCACAGCTATGCAGAACACTTCGGGTTGAAGAAATACATCAGATATAACCAAGATGTGCTTTCAATAGAAAAGTCGGGCGATGATGGATGGAATGTTGTCTCAATGAATAGTGATGGCAGGGTTAAAGAAATATTTGACCATTTGATGGTGTGTACTGGAATATACAACAAAATACATTACCCATCGTACCCTGGCTTGGATGAATTTACGGGAATACAGATACATGCAAATCAATACCGAAACACAACAGGATTAACTAACAAACGAATTGTTGTTGTAGGTACGTAGATTACATGAATACAGGATACTGTCGGACGATACTCGTACGAAAATCATGTCGTAATGTTTCCACATATAAAGTAGAAGTAGTAAAAGGTTACCTCGCAGCTTAGCCTTGAGTATGTATATCTGATTCTTTCTCGACAGGTGCAGGTTTCACCGCTGGAGAAATATCATGCGAACTTGCCAGGACTGGATCTACTGAGGTAATCATGTACTATAGGTTACTATATATTTTTTTATGTATATACATAATCTTACAATGGAATAGAAACTATACTACAATTTACATTTTATAATTATTCATATTTTACTACAGTATTGTAGACCGTTGGCCTCATATACAACACAAAATTCACTAAAATATGATCAGAATGGTCAAGCCATCCTAGTGAATGTTGGAAATAATATTGTCTCTTAATTAGAATAAATAATTTCTATAAATACAGTAAAACAAACAGGTTGAGTGAATATAAAAGTAAAATACGTTTTATAAATGGTGGGTATTTGTAATAGTAAGGAGAATAAATTTGTTATGGCAATAAAAATGATATTCGTCTTCCACTTTCTTTAAAACACATAATTTTAGTGAAGATTATTCTTTCCCTGGGAATATTTTCCACCCTACCACGTTTATCCTATATAATGATCAATAACAATTGTGTGTCCTTGTTTTAAAAGTCTTTGCTACTGCTACGTCATATGGACAGTATTACATATGACCAGTAATCAACATATTA